TCTGTCTGTGCAACGAGAGAGTGGGGAGCAAGCCAGAAGGATGCATCCCACACTCACGCTCTGGACCCTAATTCTGCCCTCAAATGACCCAGAGAGTATAGGCCAGCCCACTTCCGTCACCTCACACAGGCCTCTGCAGAGGGAGGGCCAGCTTCCGAGTGGGAACACACCTGCCCAGGGTCACTCGCAGGCCAGTGGCAGAGCAGGTTCAAACCAAGGCTGGCCAACCCCAAAGTCCACGTCCTTGCTCCAGAGGCCCCGCACCATCCCAGCAGAGCTCAGGACTCCCACTTGCCCTGTCAACTGTGCCTTGACCCTGGTGGCAACAAGGGGTGCAGAGGAAAACGCCCGGGGTGGTGGTGGAAGCGATGCTTGGCCCGCCATGGGAGGAAGCCAGGAGGCGGGCTCTGGTACCCGTTGGCCGCCAGGGGTGTCAGGCTCCTTAATAGCCCTCCCTGGGCCTCACTTTCCCCATTGATAAATTGACAGTGGTGACTATCAGCAGCGAGCCAGGATCCCAGCGGGCCCTCCACGAGGACAGCCTGCCCTCTCCTGCAGTGCACCCCACCCACCGTCCAGCTGCCATGCACGAGGTGGCCTCCGGGTGCCATGTGCACGAGAGGTGAACAGGCGGCCCCGGGGCAGGACGCGAAAGCCGCCTGAGCAGACAGCCACTTAAAACCATCACATGTACCTCAGCCTGGCCCTGACACCACACTGCAGGACCCAGGACGGCTGCCTTCCCTTTGGGGTCCCCTGTCTCATCTGGACATTGGGGTCTGACACCTGCCTCTCCCGGGATTGCAGGTAAGGGTGTGAACCAGGGAACAGCTGAGAGGTCCAGGTGGGCGGGGGGACACCATGCCCCACAAGATACTCTCATTCCAAACCTTTGCCAGAAGATCTGGTTGGGTCCCTTCCCTGGCTTTTCCGTTGCCTGACTGTGTGGCCTTGGGCAAGTCACTTGACATCTCTGAGTCTCGATCTCATCATCTGTAAAATGGTTACGATGACAATGATGGGTAACTTGTACTAAGTGTATGCTCCATGCTGGGACTGCGCTAAGCACTTTAGAAATATTAACTCATTTAATTCTCATGACAGTCATCCCCATTTGGGGTACCATCCCACTTTACAGATGAGTATATTAAGGCACGGAGAGGTAAAGTCACCCAGCTAGCAACGGCAGAAGGTAGGACTCAAGGCCAGTCCAGTGAGGCATGGATTAACCATGGCCCCCCGCAGCCTGGCTAACAATCACGGGACAACATCGTTCCCAGGGTGGCACCGAGCTTCCCCGTTTTGGCCCTGGGCCCAGAGCGGAGCATCCCCAGCCAGTGTTGGCTGAGCTAAATGAAACCATCTCAAGGGCAGGCGGCCCTGGAGGAGTTCCTGGCCCTAAACCCCAAGCATTTGGCCGAGGAGCCAGGGAGGCGTCCCAGTCTCCTTCAGCTCTGCCCAGGAGTCCTGCTAGGCTGGGGGGCCCTGCCAACGCCCCCGCCTTTGTTTATGCCCCAGGCATCAGGCTGGGGACATTCGTTCCTGCCTCTGCCCCCACCAGCCTCAGGGGGGGAGATGGGGGGACACTGCTGCCCCAGTGCTACCTGACAGCCCGCCACCTGCCCCCGGCAGAAAATAGGGCTAGGGCTCCACGAGGGCACCCCTTCCCCTAGGCCTAGCAGGCTCCCACCAGTGCCAGGCACAGTGCGGGCTCTGTGGGGGGCGGAGGGGAGGGACAGCCGCGATCACGCAGCACTCACGTGGTGCCAGGTTCTGAGCTGCCTCCAGGGTCACCCGACACCCCTGCTCAGCCCTGAAAGCTCAGGATGTGACCCGCCAGGAGGGCTGAGGAAGGAGGCTCTGAGAGGCTGTCACTGGCCCAAGGCCCCACACCCAGGCCCAGGCCCTGCAGGGCTTCCGACGTGGCAGGCTTGGGGTCCCAGGTCTGCCCACTCCCCAGCATGCTCCCCAGCACATGGTGGGGGGAAGGGGCCTCATCTGAGCTCAGACATTCAGGAGGCTCTGGAGCTGTCTGTTGCAGAAATCCCACGCCCGCCAGGACCGGGCTGGCCCACGTGGGCTCCTTTTTGGAGGTTCTCCCTGGAGGACGTGTCTGACCCCAGAGCTCCCGGCCTGGCCCCAGTCTCACCCTGGGCTGCCCCACCCACCCAGACGGCCAGGGCTTGGAGTGTGCCCCCTGAATTTTGATAACTTGGAGAATAATTTGCAAAGAGGATAAAGTTCACAGACCTTAAGAACAGATCCTGAACACCTCACCGGAACTGGCCTTGGCTCTTCTCTCTGCCCTTCAGGAGAATGACCCTCATTGCTAACACCCCCTGGGCACTCATGGCGTCCTAGGTGTTTACTCCTGGGCCCACCCTCCAGGTGACTACGGTGTCCTTAAAGGCCCAGAATACAGAGGAGGAAAGAGCTGCGGGTTCTGGAACCAAGGCCTCGGCTGGAACCCTGCTCCTCCACCTGCTAGCTGTGGGCTCTGAGCAATGAACCAAGCCCCCGTGCCTCGCTGTCTGCCTCTGGAAAACAGAGAGGACGGGGGCATGCCAACCTTCATCCCCCTCACACCTAGCACAGGGCCCACCTGGACACCCACCAACCACCCCAATGTCTTCATCTCCTGCCCTTGCCCCGGCACTGACCCTTGTGGAAGCACCCATTCCCCACCCAAGCTGTGCCACTAACCCTGGGGGTGCCCTGGTCACCCTGCCAGGCTGAGGACAAGGTCCTGTTCCCCAGCTGCCCCCACCCAGCCCATCCCCACCTGTGCTCCCAGCCCAGGCCTGGAAGATCCCCCCCAACACACACACCACCCCGCCAGGGCCCCCAGCTGCCTCCTACACTGGACAGAGCCCAGCCCAGCCTGCCCTCCCATCCCCACCCTTCCCTGCCCCTGAACCCCTCTGTCTAGAGAGCACCCTTCACCCTTGCCTAACCTGACGCAGCTGAGAACACATACTTTGGAAACTGGCAGAGCTGAGGTCAAACTTGGCTCTACCATTCATGAGACATGTGGCCTGAAGCAAACTCCTCGCCGAGCCCCAGCGCCGTCATCTGTAGAACGGGAATAATGACCTTCTCCATGGGACTCTGTGCATATGGACTAAAACACTAGCGTTTATCAGGCAGCTACCCCACGCCAAGCCTCTTGCTGTGTGAACTTTCAATCTTTATTTCCTTTAATCCTTAGGAGGTATGGATTCTTCACCTCAAGAACACACGGCAAGGCTTCCCTGGTGGCGCAGTGGTTAAGAATCCGTCTGCCAATGCAGGGGACAGGGGTTCGAGCCCTGGTCTGGGAAGATCCCACATGCTGCGGAGCAACTAGGCCGGTGCGTCACAACTACTGAGCCTGCGCTCTAGAGCCCGTGAGCCACAACTACTGAGCCCATGAACCACAACTGCTGAAACCTGCGTGCCTAGAGCCCGTGCTCCATAACAGGAGAGCCACCGCAATGAGAAGCCCGCAACGAAGAGTAGCCCCTGCTCGCCGCAACTAGAGAAAGCCTGCGCGCAGCAACAAAGACCCAACTGCTCGCCGCAAGTAGAGAAAGCCCACGCACAGCAATGAAGACCCAAGGCAGCCATAAATAAAATTAATTAATTAAAAAAAAAAAACACACGGCAGCCAGGTCGGATCAAAAGAGCCTTTATGGTTCTCTGGAGCAGAGGCTCCATGGTGACAAACCTGTCGCCGCCTGCCCCCCAAGGCTGCAGGCCATGTTGGAGGTGAAGTGGTGTTAGGTGCCTCGAGTCCAGAGTCCGACGCAGGGACCAAGGGCAGGGGCGGGG